TGTAATTCCTGATTACGTGACAAAACAGTCAGAAAGCTTTTTGTGAGTGTGTGAGATAGTGAGAAGTATGACTTCCCAAAAGCAAAGAGCCAGATCTACTACAACATAATCAGGAAGAAAGAGATGTTTGACTTGTTGGTTACAGATTCTTCATTTATAAGGGCATCTAATAAGTTTTTTAATGAGAATTTTCTATAAATGCATATTTTCTGAAAATTATAACTGTTGGTTCTTTTAGTGTGGAGCATTTTGCATCCAAATACCATAAAGTGCTTTACAGAGGGTGGGTGTCTCTGAAAGGAGAGGGAAGCCCTGTCTTGGTGACTGACTCTAGAGGGTGTTTAAAGCCAGTGGCAGATCTACGTTTATTATTGAGACTGATTGGTTTCTTGTGCTATCATAAGACCCACATACAGACCAGGACTCCAATGTGCCAGTTTTTCAGAGTAGAAACTCCACCTGTGGCCAGGCACTCCCCTGGAGTGCTGAGAGTAAGGAGAGATTGCCCATTGCACTAGCAAGTTGCCTAGAAAGGCAGCATCCAAGCTGTTTGAGACACACTTCAGGAAATCTTCAGTTTGCTGGTGCTGAACAGTCTTCATCACAGGCGTGCTGCACAGATGAGAGTTATGGATACAGAAGGGTGGCTCAGGAGGGCAGGACTTACCTAGTGTCCTCTGGACCACAGCCTGGAACTGAGATGTGCCTTTCCAACAGTAACCTCTTGAAATGTAACTGTTTTACACTGGGAGTCAGAGCAGCCCTCTGGATGTCCCTATGTCAGGCTGTCCTTTCACATACCTCTTTCCTGCAGGTTGGGACTTGAGTGCTCCTTGTCACTAACAGGCACGTTGCTGTGTTTTGTACCCCACCTTGCCACAGGGAAATCAAAGAGATGGTAGTGTGGGAAGGAGGTGCTTTGTGGGGAGATTTTACATTAATAGGGTAGGTAATTTGCTCCACCATGTCTGCTCTCTCACAGAAACCTTTACAACAAAGCAGAACAATATGGCAGGAGAATAAAAATGTGTGTATGATCTTCATACTACAAACCAGGCACAAAGGTAAAACTTGTTATTCAGATGTTCCCAGAGAGAGGGGGCAATTTGCAGTGAAAGCCCACTGTTAGAACAGGAAAATTGAATGCTGCTTGACAGTGCTCGTCCTGATGGGCTCATACTCCACACCAGCACTCTGCTTCGTTCCCATATGGAACAGATGCCGTTATTATTGCTGCTCAGAGGCAGCACTGAGATTAACAGTTTCCATGTACAGATACTTCTTTGGCATTACATAACCTGTGCATTTAACACACAATAAATTTTCATTGCAAATTGGCTGCTGTGGGGGTATCCACATTTTTAGACAGCCATTTCCTTCCCAAGACATGCAGTTACACTAGAGCCTGAGCTTGATCCGATTATGAAAGCCATACTAAAAAATTAAGTGAGTATGGGGCTCTGGAATCTCACAGTTTGAAAAAAAATAAGAAGTAAAATCCCAGGGCTCATCACTAGTTTTCCAGGCTAAGCAGCGTGGAATTATTACAAACTGATCACAAGCACAGGAGTAGCAATGTAAGGCTGGGATGCATGTGGCGTTGTCATGATGCTGAAAAGATGCATGCAACAGATCATAGAAAATTCTTTGTGAGGCACCTACATAAGCTGAAACAACACTAAGATATAATACTCTTATTCATTGGATTAGGGAGAAAAAAATATTTGATCACACTGGAGACATCTGTCTGTTTGCCTCAAAAAACTTCATTTTCATGCTAAGTGTAGTTTTAAAATGTCACCTTGAGAATGTGTGACATTTTAATGGGCTGATTGCCAGGATTGTCAAATCTGTTAATTTGCTTATGAATCTCAGCATCAAACATTATGGAAAAATTATAAGAAACTACAATTATTAGAGAATGCCTTGCATTCCCCTTGGTTAAACATATGTTGGGAGGGTTGTCTCTTAGAAACCTAATATTACAAATGCAAATGAGATTAAAAAATGCTGTGGTTTTCCCATTTATACCAATAGCTGGTTGTGATTCCACGTGGCCTGTTTTACAGCTGGCTGTGAAGAGCAGCCTGGTTGTTGCCTGTTCTTGCAATGAGCTGCACGGCACATTACAGCATCATGAGAGTCACTAGTGCAGCCCTGAGGAAGGGCTGCTCTCCCTTCTCCACGCTTCCGATGCAGCTCAAATAACTTTGGTGGGATTACACTGTTGTTGTCTGATCAAGTCTCTCCAGTAAGCAGATTTCAGGTTGCTTTTAAAAATGATGGAGCCAAACGAAGCACCAAGGGCCATCAATTCTCAACCTCTCAAGCACTTCAATTAGAGAAAGCTGAGGAGCCTGCATGATGCAGTTAACTACTGTACATCAGGGTCTATGACTAGGCTTGTGAGAGTTAAGCACCAGCCACATATGTATAAATACTTGGTGGATTAGGGTTTATGATTAGAGAAAATTCTAACTGAAACAAAACTTGCAATCAGAATCCAACTCTTAAACAGTTTTAGTGGGAGGAAAGTGCAGCTGAGTTCCTAAAGTAGGTTTTCTCATCTAATATAACTAGTTCAATGCAAGACTTGGCATATCTTATGCAATTGTTTATAGATTCTGCACAGCACATCTGCTTTGGGAGCTGATTTCTGATGGAAATCCACTTGAATGGAGATAGCAAATTTGATTTACTTGTGAAAAGAAGTGAAGAATTCCACAGCAAAACAATCTACTTCACAATTTGCTTTGGGCTATAAGATTCAGTGCAGAAAAAAGACCCAAACCACATCATTCAGACTCAATTTTCAAGCATCAAAAGTTTGAGGTTAATCAAAACGAGGGTTTAGTTCATCCATTCATGAAAATGTCTGTGTAGCTTGGAGCTGACCCTGTGCTGGGATCTTCTCATCTCCCTTGAGGTCCCCCAGGACTGTTCAAATCCAGGGATCAGACCCTTTTTCATTTCTCAGAAGAAATTCACAAACCACACACACAAAAAGCTTTTTGAAGGAGAAGCCAGCTTGGGCAAAAAGAGGCAGCATCAGAGAGCTGTGTGGGTTTGTCGTGGATCTCTGGAAATGTGCAAGCAGGAACAGGGTAAAGGGATAGATGTTTCAAGGTAATATTGATCTCTCTGAGAAACTGGAGAGCAGTGGAAGTAATGCAGTTTTGTGCAAAAGAAAGAGACCAAACATAGTAAATGGCACTGGGGGAGAAACTTTAAACTTAGGATTAATGTGCAGAAACAACAGGAGTGTAAATCTGAATCTCCAGAGCAGGAGGCAAGGCTTGTTGTTCAGAGGTAAGCTTGGTACTAGACACCTGTCAGAGAGGCTGAGCTTCCTAAGGTGTTTCCTGGATCATGGTGGGAAAGATTGGCCCCCAGATGCTCATCTCTTTTTGGAAAACAAGCTAAGACATGTGCAGACTTGGGACTTTGCGGAGGCATAGCACTGGCGTTACCCTCGTTGCTAACACCCCTAGCAATGTGACGGGGCAGCCTGGGGAAGTCAGCCGAGGAGGAGCGGAGCAACGCTCAGGATGCTGCGCCGGCTGCATGCCTACGGCTGCCAGTCAGCAAGGGGGGATGTCAGCAAGCCAGGGTGCCTGCCAGCCACTGGTCTCAGCAGCCATGCCATGGTGGGAACCGCTCCTGTCTGCTGAAACCCCCAGGGAGGGTGACCTTTCCCCACTGGGAGAGACCAGGAGGGCGCAGGCAAGCAGCGTGGCACTGGCTCGCCTCTCATGGGCGCATGGAAGGGAGATTTCTTCTGGGCTTCATTTTAGCTAGGTGGTGCAGAGGAGTCATCTCAGTATTACCTACTGTCTGCTGCCTGCCTGCGCAGCAACAGCTCCAGGCAGAGTTTGGCTCCCAGCCTTTACAAAGTCATCAGTGGAGGTGAAGCTCTTCTGGTACTGCACTTATGATGCAAGTATACAACAGAAAATGTTACTGAAGCTTGTCCTCTCTAGGAGAACCCACCCTCCCTTCTCCTTTACAGCCCCTTACCTGTTATCCATTGTGAAAGCATTTCTCCTTAGGAAGAGAGACACTTCATACACGAATGCATACACAAAAGAAAACAAGTACAACATCCATTTCTGTAGAAGAATATATTATTTAGCAGATCAGTTTAAAAGTAAAAAAAAAATCTGTACATCTTTGAAGGTTTTTCTTGTTGTTGCTTTTTGCATCCATTTGGATGAAAATATGCTTGCACAGAGGCTTCAGCTTTGTGCTCCCTTTGCTCATGCTGAAGGATCCCATCATGCCTAGATATACAAGGCCACAAAGCGAACCTGCAAAGTTACTAAGGTTTCTTCTGATTTCTTCTAGTGTAGAAAACAAACAAAAAATTGCATCCACTATGCTGGGCTGCAGAATGTACTGTGAAGACTATAGAAGTCAGACTATAATACAGAGAAATGTGTCATTAGGGCCTACTAGGCAAACAAAAATATATGCCAGGGCCCCTGTCAGAATATAAGTATCTGTTAAGCTATGCTGTAATTAGCATACTGCTGTACACATACATATAGTACCTTGACTAAATCAAATTTTGCTTTTGCTTTTGGATACCAGTAGATTGTTTCCGGAAAAGGCTCCTTAGCCAAACTCCACTTTGTCTCTGCAGACCACAGTCAGTGTGGTCACCAAAAAGGCAAATCTGCTGAAGGGCTGAGGTGTGCTGCAAGCTGTGCAACGTCCACAGGGGAAGTCCTGCTGGGAGTGGGGTGTGTGTGGTGGCCCTGCCGAAGCGTGGGGAGCCCTTGTTGCCCATCGGCGGCAGTGCCTGTGCGAGCCAGCTGCAGGCTGTAGACGAGGCACCCGGGCAGGCAGGCAGGCAGGCAGGGCATCCCGTCCTGCCACTTTTCCACGCACATGGTCCCAGCTGGACTTTGACGTAGGCACCACGTCTGTTTGGCAAATACAGCATTTCTCAAAAGCAGAATAACCTCAGGGCTTATGTTTTGCTCAGGGACTTTTTGGTCTCACTTTTCGGTACTGCCGGTGGTCAAACTTTCACTTTTCTTTTTCTGCAGCTGAAACGAAGAGCAAAGCAGGATGAGTGCCCCCGACTGCCACGGTGCCCCTGCACACCAACTCTGCCAGTTAACGCTCATCTCTGCACAAAGCACGTGCAACGTTTCTTAGGAAGTAACAGGCAGCAGCTTGGTGCATTACAGACATCTTTTCATCCAAGCAGCTGTGATGTATGTCCTGAATAGACAGCACTCAGTCTTCCTCATCATCTGCCATGCCAGGCTCTCAGATTAACTAAATCCTCTTGTTTCAGGATATTTTTGAATTCAGACAGCTCCTGTTTTCCCAAGACCTCTTGTGCCAACACGCCATAATTAAAGTTCCATCGGTTTGTATAAAATTTCTGTTTCAACAGCTTCTGTAGACCAGAAGTAAAAGCTCAGCTCAACTTGAAAGATGAATAGGACTCAGAAAGTCTAGGAGTCATATCTTAGTTCTTCCATCCTTTGAGAAATGCTCCTCTCTGAACTGAAAAATGCCTGAAAGACTTTATTCTCCTTTATAACATAGTGCCCTCAAAGCATGTGCTCTTTGATTAACCCGCCTTAATATTTGTACTGCTGAAGTGCTTTTCCTTCAAAGCACTTGGGAGGAGGTGGGAGCTACAGCACAAGGCGACTATTGCCCTCATCCAGCCAAGGATGAGCAAGTGAATGAACCTTCATTTCTCGCATATCAAACCGTATCGGCACAACCAGTGCTCCAGGGCACTTCGCTATTTATTTTAATGACAGAGTGACAGAGTATCCTGTCTACGTGATAAATTTGTTCATATCAGAAAACTCCTACACTGTGATGCCATTAGGGCTGGTTCTGTCATCTGCCCTGGCAGGGAAAAGAAGCACTCAAATGAGCATGCAAGGAAGGCGTGCAGGTCCAGTGCCACAGGCTGCAGGGTGCTGCAGGAGCTTGGCCAGCATGCTGGCTGCTGCACGGTGGGCACAGGGCACCTGCTCCCAGGGCCTGGCCTTGGTCTCTGCCCTGCCAGGCTCCTCAGACAACGCAGACATGACCAGACACAGCAAACGTGGTTGCATGGGTATCCTCCACCCCTAAACCTTAAGTGGCGAAATGAGAGACACTCTGTAAATTGAGGTCCTCCCTCAGTCCGGGACATAAAATGGCTTCATTGGTTGTGTGTTTAACCCTATGGGATGCTGTGTATCAGAGAGTAATTCCTCATAAAATTTCAAGCGCATTCTCGACGATAGATACTTAAGTGGAAATTTCTTTTTCAGAAAATAACTTATGCTTTTGTGGTGTAGTGCCTTGAACTGCCCACCTCTGGGGCATTTTGCTGCAATCTAGCCCAGGCTAACTCCTTCCCAGAGTTGGGGGGTAGCTCCCTCCAGGAGGAGGTGTTTGCTAGCACGCTCCACTCATCTCTGGGTTTTGTCTCCAGGTCCCTCTCTTGCATGCAGCTCCCTTCCCACAGCTGTACTTGCGTGGTGCCTGGTGGACTCTGCCAGGGCACGCTCTTGTGCACACCTACTGCTTGTGGTGCATGTCTCTCTCCAGCCAGGTATCATGAATGTGTTTCTCATGATAATGATTATGCCATAAGCATTCCTACTGTCTCAGAATTAAGCTGCTATTAAATTATCATGTTTGGCTTATTCAGACATAATATTTGCTTTATCAAAGAGATATTTAGAGCTTACCTCTTTCATAGCATCATCTATCTGTTTTAATTCTTCATAGCGATCCCTGGATTCCCAAAGGGGCTGGAGCATCACCTCTTCCACTTCTGGGAATAGCTAGGTCAAGACAAGAGAAAGAATATCAACGTTTCCTTTTGTATTCATTAACTTGTACATACCAAAAACAGGGTGAGAGGCAGGGGGTGAACTTTACGTTCCCATTTCCCTGGCTAACTAAACAACTGTTGAGGCAAACAAAGAAGCTCTGCACGTCCCCACTTCAGCTTCTGGCCTCAAGTGACTTACCTTTGTTACTGTTTCGAACATAGGGATGAGAACAAACTTCAGGAAGCCAATCTGTGCTGTTGGCTTGGTCACTTTATCACGGTCCATGAATGGTGCCACTGGAAGCCCCTCAGATTTTTCTCGATCGCTCTGGAACAAATCCAGAGTTAACAAGTGTTAATCTTGACTAGAAGCCTGTGTGGTGAGTAAAGTACCAAGCAGACCACTAGCTAAAGAGCAGTAGCCTTCAGATACAGATCTCAGTGGTGTCTGAAGGTAGCACAGGATAGCAATGTGCTTCCCTCAGGTCAGTGTATCCTACTTCGTTGAGATCAAGTGTCTGAATAAAGAGAACTCTGTTCTGTTACATCTGCACAGTACCAGCATGAAAGCATTCACCTCCAGGCTTACAGGACAATGGTTTGTGAGGCAAAATATTTCTGAGCATTCAAAAAGGTAATAGTGGCTTCTGCTGCTCTGGAGGAGAAGGAATAGGTCTTTGATTTCCTCGTTGTTCTCGAGAGAGTGATTATTTTTGGGTGTTCAACCAAAAATTACATCTCTTTCTTTAGTAATGATTAGAAATAGTTCTGGCTAACTGGGTCAATGGAGAACAGTTGCATTGATGGCAATGGTTTTAACAAGCTACCTAATTGACCACATAACTCACGTTTCTATATGGGTGCAAGGAGGTCACAGACTGAGCAAGAAAAAAACATATCTTGTAGCAGATTTTCTCTCTCAATCATTTGTTCTTTTGCTGTGTGGCCAAAACAGTAAGGCACACAGATACTGTGATTTTGAGTAAAAAGCTGCAGATGCCTTGAGTGAGGAGTGTTTCTGACACATCATCCAAGGCATCTGTCTCTCATGAGAAGCCCTCCTCAGTACATGCCCTATCTACGAGCAAATCACACAGGAACGTTTGGGCATCTCCTCCTCAGAGCACTGCAGCTTTGTGTCTCTTGAGATCCCACTGCTGCAGCACATACATGCTGCTCATGAGACCGTGTGCCAGAGGCAGCTGAGGGCTGCTCCTCCAGGGATCTTTTTTTAAGCAATCAGAAACTATCTCCAGCTGGGAATCCAGTGAGGAGCAATGGTCTGGAGAGCGTGAAGTCTGACTTCACACACTTCAGAAAGTCATCTCCTTTCTCTTTAGGTAAATGTTCACACACAGTCAAAGTTACCTAAACTGGTTCCTGTGAGATATTTGATATCATGCACTTCACAACATCTTCTTGCCACTGCTGTTGCCCTTTTAGCTCAAAAATCATTTAGGTGTCAAATGAACTTTCAAAGTAGTCACTTTATGAAGAACAAGTTTTGGTCTGCTAGCATTACGATTTCTGGGTTGCTGTTGTCTTTCAACTGCAAATCACAGTCAATTGGATTTACTTGCTTTCTGACCGGTTTTTCTTGCTGACATCCTTCTCCTGCTTTCTGTAAAAGAAGCCTTTCCATCGTACAGCTAGGCTGGGCTGTCAGAGAGCAGAGCACTCGTAGATGAGGTGGGATTAGGGAAGAGCAGCAACATGTGCAATTGCACCTCTCCATCATTCTTACCTGCATAAAATATTCCTCTAGTAAGCAATCTACCCAGGGCTCTGCTACTTCCATCGGGCGCACTTCATTGGAGATATCACAGCATTTTATCAGTATCATCTTCAGCTGAAAGAAGACAATACTTTCATACTGCAGTTTTATTGCCAGTCCTTTTTCCCCCATCCAGAACCTGTGTCTTTACAATGCAATGGGAGGCAATGTTTTCAAGCAGAAAGGACAGCTTTAGGATTAAATCAGAGGTCTTAAATGGTCTGGATTCTTTTCCACCCTCCCAATTTCCCTGCGTAAATCACTGCCCCCTTCGCTGTAGCATGGGGATGTGTCGCAGTGGTGTGTATACTTATCTGCTGCATGAAGAGAGATTCAGCCACAAATGACCATGAAGTTGTTTGTGGAGCACTCAGAGGCAGCTTGGGAGAGGCTTCCCTGGACATCAAAGATGACTGCATTAGGAAGCAGAGGAGAGTAGAGTTTCTACTCTCGTGGATGTTTTCTGCTCCATAGTAATGGATAATAAGAATTTGTTTCCTGGCAGAGTAGATTTTTTTTTTCCTTGATGAGAGTCCAGATTTCTAAAGCTGGAATAATCTATTTTATATAGAGCACTTCCAAATTTTAATCCTTTTTGGGGGGACAGAGGATGTAGGAAGGATTTGTTTTTTGATAGTGCATGTTGAATGTTGGTTTCTAAACAAATGTTAACCTACAAACTTTCACACTATGCACGGAAAAATAAAAATCTACAGAACCTCCTTACACAGGTCATGTGTTCTTCATTTGAGTAATCAAAGTTTTCCATTTTTTCCTTGAAAGAGTCCAGTATTTCTGCATGTCTCGCCATGTCTGTAGCCAGGATTAATGTAATTATCCCCTAGCAAAGAAAACACATTTTCATATTAGCTTGACATTCTTTACAAAGTCCACTATTGCAGAGCCAAGTGTGGTCTTTCTTGCACACGAAACCCCTCAGATGTGTTACATTGTTTATACCAAAAGGGGAAGTTTCTGACTTGAAAGTGCCAAGTAAACTGGAAAGGGGTTATAAAGAGTTCACGGTATAAAGATTGTGGTTGGATCAATCTGTAACACTGGTGTAATGTTCCAGAGGCATTGAGGTTTTTCCTTTCTGATTGACTAATTGTGGAAAACCAAACTGTATAACAGGATGTTAAAAACCACACACTGTTTGCCAAGATCCACTTTTGACTTCTTGGAAAGCACTACAGGTTTTGCTGCTGACTTAGTGGCCCTGGGAAGAGACAAAGATCAGTAGATGTGGATGTCCTCTGTACTCATTCTCCATGGACTACAGGCTTTGAAATACACACATGCAGCCAGTGTGTTAGGAGCTCTTATATCCCCCTGCTAGGCAGAGTTTTTGATAGGAAAACACACAGTTCTTTTGAAGTTGCAGGTTTTCATACAGTTCTATCCATTTTGGGCCCATGCTTGCTTCCCATGCACTAGAAGAATCAGCAGCTCCAACCAGACAGGTGCTTGAGCCCTTACTTTGGTCTGCTTTTTCATCTGGTGTGTAAGGAAGGTGTAACATGGAAACTAAGACTGAATTTTGGCCCTTAGCGCTCTAATGGGAATTGTAGCACTGTTCACTGTCTCAGAGATAACTGTGATGACTCCCAGCCCACCAGAGCCTCTTCCAAAGGGACAAGTGTTCTGCTGTTGAAATTCTTTTCCCATTTTGAAGCCCCTCTTAAAATTAATACAATGTTCTCTTCAAGTATAAACTTCTGCCATGAGAGCGTAATCCTTTCCTAGCCAGAGATAATTGGCTCCTTCAATAACATAAATGTCTACCCCCAAAATGTCATAGGCCTTAATAGTCAGGATGTACTCATTATTTCTCAGCAAGAAATTCCAGGGAAGGCTGCTGTGGAAATTTCCCAAGAATCCCTCTTGGATCCTTTCAGTGTGAGGGGCTTTTTGAGTCCTACCCTCGAGGGAGAATGATTCAGCTGCATTGTACAGCAGGGAACTCTGTGAGAGCTTACATCTTCAGGAACAGTTTGTGCGACACAGATGGGAACAGCATTCATACCTGTCTTATCTGTTTGAATTGGTCCTGGTTGACGTTGGAGAAAATGTTGTATTCTGGCTGGGAAATGATCTGGAAAGCCACAGCACAGTGGTGGTTCTCCAGGGGGGAGATGTCATTGTAGCGTACTGCAAGCTCCGTTCGTGCATTTATCTGGTAGCTGATGTGAAGAAAAAACAGTGAGAACTCCTGCAGACACACACCAGCTGCTCTGAACCATGCTGCTTGCTTTTATTTACATTCTTTTCAGTACTTATTCAATTAGCTGAAGCTTGTTTTTTGATTGTTAATACTAAATCAGATTTTTAGAGAAGATAGATATTACTTTAATATCTTCTCAGACACCCTTGTAGTTTCGGGGGCTTGTTTTGTTTTACCAAGTCTCTGTAGCTTAAAATGACATAGAACAAACACAGACGCAACTGTCTGGAATTAATTCAACCCCCACTAATGTCCGTGGAGAGATTCTCACTGATCCCAGGAACAGGATTCTACCCTTGTTTAACGAATGGCTCCAAGTAAATTAGATTCTCTCTCTCTTTTTCACACACACATGCATGCATACAAAAGTGTCCATGGGTTAACAATTCTAATTTCCTCACAATCACATGATAATAAATAGAATAATAGGCACTTCATGATTTATAATTATGAAATCATGTATAAGTTAAATCACCCTTTGCATTTTAGTGTAATGATTCCGTTTCAGTCAGTGGAGCTATAATTATGTATGGCCTCTCTCTGCTGTAAATTACCTTACCTTGTCTCCTCAGGAGTGAGGGAAAGTGATAGAACAGAAATATGAGAAAGCACTTTCTATACAGAGCCAAGGACAGCTGGCAGCCCCAAACCAGACCTGAGTTTTCTGCATGAAGCTTTGCCTTGGCCCACGTGCGAGTGAACAGCAGGGCCTTGGGGAAAGGTTGTGGCCAGCTCAAGCTGTGAGAAGGAAAACCTGCCCTACCAATACTGCCAGCTGGTATTACCTTCCCAATACATTTTAGGGGAAGAGAAAGCAACAGATAGACTTACGTATTGTTATAGCCCGGGTGGTCCAAGTCGTGGCATACTGCCGCAGTCATGAGAATCAAGATGTCAATTTGGGAAAATTTATCCTGCACAATACAAACCATTAATGTAGTATTACTACTTCTACTTCCCCTGTCCCCATAAATGAAAAGAAGTGAAAAAACCACCCACATTTACTTTTTAGAGAAATGCAAAACTGAGTAAAATTAAGTATTTTTCCATAGATCAATTTACTTTAGTCAAGAAAGAGAATTCTGCCTTCCCTTCCAGCAAAAATGACTCAGATTTGCTTTTCCTGCATTAAACAACAGCAGCTCAGAGGAGGCAATTTGCTTGAAACTTGCTGTTACTGCAGAGATCATAGAAAAGCACTGAGATACTAGTACAGTCTCTTACAAGTCATTTGAGATTCCTGATTAGTTAAGGGAGGGCTGGAAGACAGCTTAGTTGCCATTGCATTCTGCATTAACTAAAGTTATGAAAAGAATGAGAAAAAATTAAGTGTTTTGTTCCCACAGCTTCTGAAAAGGATGAACTTCCACTAAAGCAAGTTTTTCTTCACTCTTTTGAGCAAGAAAATAGACTTAGGCCAGTAACTGAGATGTTTAACTATGAGGCAGAAAAGAGGGTTTTAGCTGAATATACTTAGTTTGTACAGAAATTAAATTAATATATAAACACAGAATATCCAATCAATAAAAATAAGTGATGCCTATAGTTTTGGACAAAGTACAGGTCAAATGTGAACCTTGCACACAGTACACGCAAGGTGTTATTTGCTGTAGCTCACCTGGGAGCAAGCACACATTTGGAGAAAACCTCTTGTGGGAACACTTTGTATCACAGATGAAGACAGCATCCACACACCATAATTCAATACACTTTTGGATCTGATTAATGGGATGTTTCATGCTATCTGAGTGTCAAAAGATCTTCAGTATGCAAATCTGGGATATGCAGGAGGCGAAGGCAGCTTCCAGCAGCCTCGGAAAGCTGTGTAGGTGCTTGGGGTCTGGGGTGGCACGGCTGAGCAGGCAGCCAGAGGTGGAAATGCAACACCTCTCCTCCTCTCCCCAGGGATGGAACAAGTGCAGCTACTGCAAAGCTCATCACTTGCTAGCAAGCTGCTGGCCTGTCTTGCAAGAAAGGTGGCACTGGTGTCATGGTGCTCAGTGGATGCACCTGCGAGGGATGGAGCAAAGCTGTTGAGGTGGGGGCATACCTGGAGGCTGCAGAGCGAGATCATGCTGTACATCATCTGGGTCACACAGAAGCAGTGCCGGAAATTATGAAAGGGGTTGTTTCTGTAATTGTCATGAATACACAGCTGCAGAGAGAGGGAGGGAATGAAGCAGTCAGAGACAGGAGGGCTCTTTCTTTATAAAAACGTGCTAACACACACTTGTGGACCTCCCTGGAAGCACTGTGTCTCCCTACAGGAGTCCTGAAGAGCCCAGAATTATTTTATAGCAACTTCTCTCTCACACCAGCTAGCACTGGGCAAACACCCCAGCACAGCCGCAAATGCATTTCAGTCTTGAGATAGGACTCTGTGCTCTCATCCTGAATTTGTATTTCAAACCATGCAGTGGTTAAACGGTGACTTGGGGGTGTGTAAAGAGCTCAGAGTACATCCCTGTTCCCCTCTCTCACTGAATGCAAATTACAGCTTTGAAATCTTCAGGGCTAGGATATAGCTGTTATTTTATCAGCAAATGCTCAGAGGTGGCACTTTGGGATGTGTTGCTTGGCAGAGTGAAGCTGTGAATGCACATGCACTAGCACATCTCTGTGGATTTCCTACGCCTGGCAGCATGGGAGACATTTAGCCATACAGACACATGGGGATGATTTTGATGTGTTTTAACTTTCTACAGATCCTGGCTATGTGCTCTCTTGACAAATGCAAGCTCAAGCTCATCCTTCCGTGCGTGCTCATTACTGTCAGCCTGGCTAGCTGAGTGAAGCTGGCCTGGACGGGCTAACACGTGCCACATACATTCTCCCAGTGCACTGGAGAGCCCTTGGTATCCTGTCCTGCACAAAGCAGCCCAGCGTCAGCAGTGCTGCTGGACCCCTTCTGCTGAGTCCTCCCCAGCCGGGACCCTAGAGAGCCCTTATGCGCACGCTTCAATTGCTGAGCCTGAATTAATAACACGGACGGAATTTGTGTCACTTCTTCCAGCTAAATAGTGAACTTACTTCAAGAGTCCTCAAGCACCATCAGGATCAAACCCTTCGACCTGGGCCCTGACTTCTAGGAAACCTTAATGATCTGGATTAGGTCAAGAGAACTGTGGATTTTCAATGCTTACTCAATATTTGGGGACTTCACTGCAAAAGCTGTTCAGATTATTCTGCAGCAAGGTCTTTAGAAATACATGACAGCATTTTAGAATCAATAACTAATGGCACAATATGTTTGGCAGCCAGGCTCACAGGTAGTGGGCAGTATCTCACAGCCTCCACGTGGACACCATGGTCATGCCCAGACACCACACAACCCCACATAGATGTAATGGGTACATCCAGCAGTGGAGCCCAGAGCATCCCAGGGGACTCCTGACTCAGACAACTGAAGGGCTGAAGTGACTGGGATGTATTAGTCATTCTATCCTCCCCTTTCTGGAATGTTTTTGTTGCCGGTGGATGTGGGAGCAAGAAAGCAAGCATCTGCATGAGGTGGCTTTTTCTCACCCACTTAAGTTCACACTGGTGCCCATACTCTGCCTGGGGAAATATCATAGTTTGAAGCAGAGTCCTTGGGGCTTTTTTAAATCTTCTTCCTCTCTGCAAAGCTAGTGTTTGAGAGAAGAAATCTCACCCTGTCTTACCTTTGTAGAAAATACATAACTCCCCCATTGTTCACAACAAGACTGTCTTAAATGCTAGTAGCAACAAATTAATTGGAGATGCAAGTGAACAGGAAGCTGCCTGCAGTAATGTGTGTGGGTGGCATGCTGATGTGTGTTGACATATCACCTTGTGTTCCCATGTTTTCAGGCTGTGAGACAGAAGGAGGAAATTTTCTGGTTTATCTGTTCTGTGGTAGCCTTGACTGTATTGGGTTTCACCCCATCTCTTCTGTTCATCTGCTTTCTAAGGTCAGCAATACTGAGCTTTTCATCTGCCTCTTTGGGGAGAGATAACCTAGGTCTCAATCATTATTTATATCTCCTTTAATACAGTCATACCATTTTTCTAAAAAGACTTACCCAGTCCCAGGCATAAATTCCAGGTAAGCCTTCTGCTTTCTATGGAGACATGGTAACACTGGCCCCTTTTATGCTTTATTCCAGTCTCTGATCAGCTGAATGCCCTGTTGGCTTCAGCTGCAACACACAAAGCAGTGACCATCCCTGCCCTTCGTACGCTGGTGCTCAGGTGCTTTTTGCTCTTGCTGTACTTTGTGAGATGATGAAATTAGTGTTGTGTTGTGTTTTGTGTTTTCTAGACACCTTCTGAATTTATGGAATTTGTTCAGGCCTTTCTGGGAGTCTACATCAATCATGTAATAGAGTTCCTTCTATTCTGTCCATACTCTCCAGGAAATTAGAAGAGATTTAGTGAGATATGGTTTTTCACTACAGCAATCAGGAAGCATCTGTATAATGAACATCACATCACAATGTTTTTAATTATTGTTTCAATCAATTTGTCAGGTAGAGATATAAGTTACACTAACCACCAGTCTTCAGGGTATCCCTCGATCCTTTTAAACAAGGGGTAAAATATTTACTGTTCTACAGTCCTCTAGGAACTTGACAGGTTTTTCTGAGAAAGCAAATGTGTTATTCACTTTTTTAGTGAATTCTTTCTTATGCTCTCTCTTGGACCTGATAAGTTACTGATTTTTAAGTACTCTGGTGTTTCGCCTTTAGACATCCTAGTTTTGGTATGATCTCATCTTTACCATGTTTTGCATTTCTGCAGCATTCTCAGTATTGAAGACTAAGGCAAAGGAAATTAATTTAACTTCTCAGCAATTCCTTTTCCTTCCTGCCTTGCTTGTTTACTCCCTGTGATTTAGGACATCTAATGATTAGTGCACATACTGGCTTTTTGGCCATGTCTGAAGATGCATGCCTTGTCTCCATTTACAGTAGGTACCAAGAGCATTCACCAGAAATGAACTGCTTTCAGTAACAGAAACCTCAGC